CATTCATTAGAAGCACTATCACACGAACTTGCGCAAATCATCAAAGCTATTGACCATAATATAGTAAAGTCTATTACTGGTTGGGAATTATATAATACGCCATTATGTTGTTAAATTGGTATAAGACTAAAAAATCCTTTTGATATTTCATTGTATATCTTAATTCGTAAACGTCTGATGTATTTGTTTCAGGTCTAAAGCAGTAATTTTTATGCTGGTAAATTAAAATTGTATCACCTTTATTTTCTATTAGTTGCATAACTGTTGAATCACGAAAATTTCTACTGGTGTTTTTTTGGTAAACAATTCTTTTCCCTTCGTATTTGTAATCGTAGCTTGAAATGGTATCAATTCTATTAGGATTATTAATGTCAAATGTGGCAATGTGATACAATTTATCATTATTAAAATTGTAAACAAAATTATCTCTTCCTCGAAGTTGCTTTTTGTAATAACTTTCTTCTTCTATTGTTCTTCCCAAAGTGTCAAGGTTTGCAATACTCGAAAAGCCACCTGCTCTTGAGCTTTGGTAATATTTACCATATATGGTTTTTACTCTCGGATAAAACTCTTTTGATTCAAATATTTGAGCATTAGCTTTGCTCATAAAGATTAAGACTGACAAAATTGTTATGATAATTTTCTTCACATTCATATTCTTTTAAGTCAAATTAAGCACTTTTGCCCGAAATTGCCTCTAGCTTTTACATATACGAATCTCCCCAATTTTTGCTACATAACCAAACAATGGCATAGAAATTAATAGTCAAGTATTAGGCCCAATAATGCGCTAATAAAGAAAAATGGAAAATTGAAAACTACATAAGAATTCCCCTAGCTTGTATTGCGAAAAAAAAGGCAAAAAGAAAAATAACTGAATGTAAGCACACCACAACTTGTCATCCTGAGGCACGAAGGATCTATACATGACGCTTCAAATTGCTACTATAGTTCCTTTGATCTAAGCTTGTGTAGGAAAGACAGCAAAGCCCAAAGAAAAATACTTGCCCCGACGTTGTGCTTCGACAATGCTCAGCATAAACTACAACGGATGCTTAAAGAAACTGATGAACAAAAAAATTATCCTTCATTCAGTGCCGACCAAAGTGCGTCTTTCAATTCTATTATGCCTTTGCCACTTGCCGAGGATATAAAATAATGCGGAATCCCTTCGGGTAATGTCTTGGCTATTTCGCGCTCAAGTTCATCGTCAAGCATGTCACTTTTGGATATGGCAAGGATGATATTTTTATCGAGTAACTCGGGGTTGAATTCTTGTAGTTCATGAAGCAAAATATTGAATTGCTCATGATGATCAGGACAATCTGCTGGTATCATAAAGAGCAGTACAGAGTTGCGCTCAATATGTCGTAAAAAGCGATGTCCGAGTCCTTTGCCTTCTGCGGCGCCCTCTATAATACCGGGTAAATCGGCCATGCAAAAAGACTTGTCATCGCGGTAAGGTACAATGCCCAACTGAGGGGTCAATGTGGTAAATGCGTAGTCTGCTATCTTAGGTTTTGCAGCACTGATGGTAGAGAGTAAGGTGCTTTTGCCCGCATTCGGAAAGCCCACCAAGCCCACATCGGCCAGTACTTTTAGTTCTAGGTATTTCCATCCTTCAATACCGGGTTCGCCTGGTTGGGCGTAATCAGGGGCTTGATTGGTAGCTGTTGCAAAATTGGCGTTGCCTAATCCCCCACGACCACCTTTGAGCCAAACAATTTCTTGCCCCTGCTCTAGTACTTCTGCTTCTATTTCGCCCGTTTCTTCATCATAGGCAATAGTACCTAGGGGTACATCAATATAGATGTCTTTACCATCTCTACCGGTCATATTGCTTTTGTTGCCTTTTTCGCCGTCTTCGGCAAGTACGTTTTTGTGATAGCGCAAATGCAATAGCGTCCATAATTGAGCATTACCTCTTAATATGACGTGCGCACCGCGTCCGCCATCTCCGCCATCTACACCAGCCTGTGCATTGTATTTTGTACGCGCAAAATGCGAGCATCCTGCACCGCCGTGACCTGACTTGCAATAGACACGGATATAATCAACAAAATTTGCTTTTTCCACTAATAATTATTCAGGTAAAATGACTTTATCTATTTGAGCACAAAGGAGAGCAAAAATTTCGTCTACTGTTCCTTCTCCATTGATGCGCTTTACTTTATCGGTCTCTTGGTAATAAGAGGCTACAACTTCGGTTTTAGCTCGGTATTCTTCAACACGCTTTTTAATAACTTCTTCTGTATCATCGGCACGACCCGAAGTAAGGGCTCTATTTAATATTCTTTTGGTGAGCTCATCATCTGCAACTTCAAGTGCTAGTACAAGGTTTATTGGCGCATTTTTTGCTTGCAGTAATTCGTCAAGTGCAATGGCTTGTTGTTTTGTGCGTGGAAAGCCATCGAAAATAAAACCTTTCACATTTGGATTCTCGTCGATTTTGCTGCTAATCATACCTATTACTACTTCGTCAGGAACAAGCATTCCTTGCTCCATCGACTTTTTTGCTTCCAAGCCCAAGGGGGTTTGGCGATTAACCTCATCACGTAATAAATCGCCAGTAGAAATGTGTTGTAAGTTGTATTTGCTGAGAAGATTAGCAGATTGGGTGCCTTTGCCACTACCTGGAGGGCCAAAAAGAATAAGATTGAACATAAAATGTATGAATAATATCGGCAAAAATAAGCAACCCTAATGCAAATATTCTGGTTTTTATTGGGAATTAGCCAAATTGGTATAGCTGAGTCGCTTCTTGAGCGGATATTTCTTTAATATCACCAGCTTGCATTCCATCAACATTTATTTTACCAATACTATATCTCACCAATCTTAATGTGGGTAGGCCAACAGCCGCAGTCATTTTTCTCACTTGTCGGTTTTTGCCTTCG